CAAACCCTCAAACGTCAAAACCGGACGGTGTCTGGAATAGTATCAAGTGGCCAGTCCCCGAATGGCAAGGCGGCCAAGCATTATCAAACCGGAGAGACCGTCGATCGCAAGACGTAAGATCGCATGGTGATTCCTCATATTAAACGTGGTTGCAGTAGGCAACAGCAGTGATGGCGCAACCACAGTTGGATGGGTAATTGTGGAAGGCGGGTAATCATAATCGGTTGTGCGAATTGCGGTAGACAATGCAAGCGCAGAAGTGCAATCATAGTTGTTCTAAAGAATCAAGGTATGTGTTGCAACCGCGGTCGATTGAGCAACCACGATAGGCAAAGCAACCGAGATTAACATGCATTTGACGATGATAGTAAGTTGCAATCAACTGTTGCGGGCGATTGTGACGGCTAGTCGCGGGCAATAGTTGTAGGCATGGAGACGGTCAATCGCGAGAGATGATGACGGTCTTCAACCTCCGGGCTGACTCTCACTCAGGTTTACCTCGGATGGCTTTGCGGTAGCGCATCATGGTTCTAGAAGACTAGGATTCATCCTCACACTCATGTCCCAAACATATTCTCTCACAAACTCTCCATATATCACTCCAACTCACACACAAACTCTCCTCACATCACTATATTCACATAAACTCAAACACACGTCGATACTCCAAGATACTCAAAAACTTCACTCCTTCGTTCATGAAACAAGTCCTCACACATGACTCTCCAAACTTGCTTCAGAGGCTCTTCCCTACCCCTCTATATAAACTACTTGAAAATTTACCATAGTAAAAAATGGTAATTCCTATCTAACTTACTTTTACAAAGATAAACCATAATAAGGTTGACTAGTTATCAATATGTGCTATTGGCCTCCTAAACCTTCTAGATGTTTACTAATCCCTAGATTGAGGTGGCGACATGCCATTTGTGCCTTTCCAACTTCTAGAACTTTCACTATCCAGTAAGTCAAAATAAGACTTAGTCTAACCAATGGAGTACTATTTACTTAGTCAAACCAATCAAAACTAAAAATGAAATCAAAAAGTCTTTTCTCTTGGAATCTAGACTTTTGTACAAGATAAAATAGAAGTGCTCACTCAAATCTTCTAAAACTTCTCTAGTTATTCCGCCAAGTATAGACATTATAGCTAAACTAGCTAGACTTAGTCATAACTAACTACATTTAGTTATAACTATCATAACCATGATTAAATCCTTGGCTAATTCTAGTTTTATTTCACACATGCAATATCCGGTCTTACAGGTCAATTGCGGGCGACGGTGATGACCGGTCACTAGCGATGCTAAGTTGCGGGCAACGATCGCGGTCGACACTTAGTTGCGGGCGTTGTTAGTGTCGAACGACGATGATAGTGAGTTGCGAACGTAGTTAGTTGCGGGCAACGGTGAAGAATCAATCACGGATGACAGTCAATCAAAAGGTGAGTAGTCACGTGTGACAATTAGTCGCGGACACAATTACTTGCGAGTCATGGTCGCAAGTGTGGGTTACATGTGACGTGCAGACTAGTGCTTTGGCAAAAGTAGTGTTATAGATTGAGAGTGTAAAGTATTTTTCAGTATAGATGAGTCTTTCATTGATTCCAAATCATTAAAAGAGGGAGATATTTCTCATGTGTCCATATTGACAAATGAAAATTTTTGTTCACGAATATAGTTGTGGAGAAGTATGATCATTAAGTGATTAATGATCAAATTGAGCAACGGTATATAGTTGTGGAAGAGTTTGATCATTATATGATTAATGATCAAATTGAGCAACGGTATATAGTTGTGGAAGAGTTTGATCATTATATGATTAAAGATCAAGAAAGAACATAAATATTGGTGGAATTCTTGAAAGCATGATTGAGCTAATCAAGATGGACGGTAAACTCAATCCAACTGATGTGTTAACCAAAGTTGTTTCTTAGGATAGTTATCAGGTGACACTATTCTAATATGCAATTTGTGCATGGGAGCGCATGTAGAGTTTGCTAGCATAATATCTTAAGTTATATCTTTACATAATTACTCAATCCCATGATAGTTATGACTAGTTCTAGTTAAGTCTGGTTCAAAGAGAAGCCTTGTATTAGATTTTTTTCTAGAACTTCCCGCGGAGTAATTATATAGGAGACAATGTTTATGTTACCTCTATGCTAGCATGCTTTTAGTTAACTCTTTATGTTATTACTCTATCATGTTATTGCTACGACTTAGTTCTAGTTAACTCTTGTGTAAAGAGGGATCTTGTGTTAGTTTTTCGTCTAGAACTTTCTGCGGAATAATAATATAGGTTAGAGAGTTTACTGAGATTTCTTATCACGTGTTAAGGAGTAGATTTTTGAGTTATCTCTATATGTTATTATTCTATCATGTTATGGCTACAACTTAATTCTAGTTAACTCTCGTTTCAAGAGGAACCTTGTATTTGGTTTTCATCTAGAACTTTCTGCTAAGTAATAATATAGGTTAGAGAGTTTACTGAGATTCCTTTTCAAGTTAAGAGAAAGAGTGTTGAGTTATCTCTATATGTTACACTCTGACCCATTATGGCTACGTCTTAGTTCTAGTTAACTCTCGTTTAGGGAGTGACCTTGTGTCAAATTTCCGTTCAAACTTTCTGCGGAGTGATGATATAGATTAGAGAGTTTACTGAGATTTTTTAACACAAGTTAAGAAGGAGATGTTGAGTATAACTCCAGATAATGAGTAATCTCACATTTAGCTATTTATAATTGAAATTGGTCACTGGTGTTGGATATATATACCAAGGGTCTGTGTATTACCAGACATAACTCACAGTATACTATCACAATGTTATTTTCTCGTGGACGTAGGTCTTGAGGGTGAATCACGTTATACTTTGGTCTCTCGTGTTGATTGCGTTGTTTGTTGAATGTGTCATGATGATTCTTGCGTGTTTTGCATTTACACTCTTGAACATTTGAGTGAACACTTCATTTTGTCTTTTATCAAAGTTTATAAGACTTTGATTATATGACACTTTGGATTGTTTTGACTAAGTAATAAAAACTTCATTGATTAGACTAAATCCAAAGTTGACTTAGAGTCAAGTGGAGGTTTTAGAATTTTAAAGGTCTCAAATGTCATTTTGATTTAATTTTGTTTGTGTTTTTTGAAATCTAAAGATTATTTTTTGATACTTTAGCTCAATGCATGAGTTCTTTTGAAGTTCAAATTTTGAACAAGCATACTCTCAATTCTTCAGATCTCTTCATCACTTTAGATTTATTTTTTCTACCAACATTAGTATAACACTTTTACTCATTCATATTTATCTTCTTTAGATGTGTAATGTGTTTGCAATTGGATTATACAACACCTTGTGATTCCTATATAGAATTTGAAATGTCTTTTTTTAATGTTGCATTCATTTCTTCACTATTGTAATAAATTACTCTCGCAATTCAAAGAGGAAAAAAACTTAACATTAGAAGTAAAAGTAAAAATCCATAATAAACACAAAAAAACTTGAATTTCTATCAAAAAATGTAAAAATATTGATTATCAAGTTAGTGTTTAATTTTAAACCTAAAAAAAAAATTAAATAATTGTGAATTTTTATGCATTTTTATAATTTTTAGATATCATTAAGATACAAATTTTTATTTGAAATGAAATTTAATTTTTTTTTTTGATTTTGAATGTAAATTAATACAATTAAGTTGAAACAAAGTTAGAATTCAATTTACTGTTGTGATTTTTTACAAAAAAATTACTTTTGAAGGAATTCAAGAGCATTGTGAGTGTTTTGAATATAAAAAAATCTTAGAAGTTATTTTTCTTTTGTTGAAAAAAATTTACACTATTTTGAATCAATCATTTTCAACTTACTAGCTTCAAGGTACTACAACATTGTAACAAATTGCAAGAGAATTGACACAATAGCTATGAAACCAATATTCAATAATTATCTTAATACATATCTTTGGGATTAGATTGTGAATGAACATATCACATCTCAAGTTTTTGATTGATTATATTTAAAAATTCTATGAGGTTTGCACAAAAGTGTTGCATGTCATTTTCTGATAAACTGAATGGTTACAGAATTTAGCAAGAATTCAAAAAATATTGAAAATAACTTTTTAGTAAAATTTGCGTGAGAGTAAAATTTACCTCAGAAATTTACACAAACTCTGTGGAATTTGAATTATTAAAAGAAACTTGGTAATCTGGTAGAGAAAATTGCAAAACTTGAGAGAGTGATCTTCATGTACACACACTCTGGATGTATATATATGCACAAATGTGAAAATTACATATATGCCAACAACAACTTATGGCTTGACCTGCTAGTAGATCCATTTAGAACCAGTGATCATAAGGCAAAAAAATTCCAGTAGTAATTTTAAAAATCACATGAAATTGAATAGAAAACCTTCTGCGCGCTGATAAAGTACAATTTGCATGAGCATTTAAAAGAGGAATGTTTCGGTCGTTCGTCAATCCATGCAATCTCAAGTGTCATCAAACCAAGAACCCGTATGAAGATGTGTAGGTTTCATGTTTCATGTTGCCTGTACTTGTTTCCCTGCTTGTGCCTTCCGAAAGATGACATTATGGAATAACGCACTTGTATGTACGGTGGGAAAACCCGATTATGGGTGGACAAAGATCCGAATTATAGTTCAATTGTAAAGTACGAATATTATTTTACTGTAGAAAGGCCATGCACGTACCTGCTTCAAGCCTTTACATCCAAATCCCCTCAGTACAAACAGACGAGACAATTAATGTCGGGGACAGGGTAGTTAGTTTGTGCAGCTGGTCACGTGAACTTGACCAGGAAAAATCTAACCACAACTTGCCAGTGCTGGTTGCACATCAACCGACGCATCGAACCAAATTGACAACATTCTGTACAGCATCTTGAGCCCACTTACCACATACCGAGCTCCCGCTGTCAGGCCAGGAAACCAAATGACGCTCATTGTCAAGCACCACTGAGCAACACAGAAACCGTCCTTGATATGTAACAGCTGTGTTAGCTTCTTGTCCTAGATTTTATTCACGTGTATGTAGAAGACTCCTTGACACAATTCCTCCACTTCAATCTATGTGATATAATCTGCCCTCATGTGTTGATACCATATTCGCGCCTGGACTCAGCTATCTATGCCGAATCTGTAATTGAAAACCAGGTGTTTAGTGATGTAACACTCCTGAGTCTCTCGATTTCCACCCCTGTTTCATGCAGTGGGCATTCACACCTTCCTGTCTCAACTGTAATGGTGGGAATACATCGTCACCGACAACCTAGGACAATGCTCAGGTATCATTTTTGGAGAAGTAGACGGAGATCATCGTCTCCAAGTCAGGTCTGGTCTGGCTCGGTGGCTATACTTGCCTCTTTTGGGTCCAATTTCGGTTTCTCGTTGCTAACTATATCCTCGTCTTGCTCCAAAGTGGGCATCCAGGTGATGAAATTTCGACCATACTTTCACATGCCCGGGATGAGTAGAGCACGTAGGACGCACCCATATGTATATGCACTGATCAATTCTCGCCTTTTCTCTCATTATATCTCATCTCTCATTATGCACAGATATGTAACAGCTAAAGCTACTAGTTTAGGCCCGCTTGATCCTCCCATGGAGCTATGTAGCGGTGAATTGTCAGGCCGAGAAATGATCTAGGAAAAAGTTGATTTGGACACAGGCAGCAATCTTTGGGTTATTGAAAAACGCTGCGAGCCTCGTTCTCTCGAAATGTGCTCATTTATCGTTCAGTTTCAGTTCGTTGCGTGGCGTGTTGGTCGATACCTGCTCTTCACGACACCTTCAGAATCATGGTTACGAGCAGGTGCTGGCGAGCACAACCAATCCAGTTCACTTAAATTTACATCTGGCGGTTGCCCCACACCTTCCACCGCAAATCCGCACCTCGGAAATTGAGTATTAAGCATCGCGCCCTCATAGAAGTTGTAGTCTCAGTCCGACAGAGAAAGGCGTCGGACACTTCGACTCAGAGGGACAAAATTGCCAGGATGCGTGTCCACATATTGCTCCTCTTCCTCCTCCTACTCATTTAACTTTTCGACTCTTTGCCGATGTCTCTACAGAGAATTTCGGCCGACGGGGCATCCCACACCTCCCACTGCTGCTGAAAATCTTCTACATCCTGTACACACTGGTCGAAGGTCCTGGAACTGATTTTTTTCCGAGCGTCAGCTGCGTCGGGCCCTGAAATATCATCGAATATCCCTTCCCACCGACCTTCCCAATCGTCTCTGGCGTCGCAGAGTTGGGGGTCCTCCGTGGGACCGACCCAAGCCACAGATCTGTTACTGGCGTTGACAATGGCCCTGGCATGTCGACCGACGGCCAAAGGCGTGCAGGGTCTGCACTTGGCGCCATTTAGAGGCCCTTTGCTCCCTATGGACAGGACGGGCACGCCGTAAACCTTCGGAGGCCAGGGGTACTTGCGAGTGCTCAGGACACAGAACGGGAACGTGCTGAATTTCACCTCCACATTGCTGGACGTGAACTGGGCCTGAAAGGCCGTTTCCGAGTACAGCCCTCTGTAGCCAAGAGCGTGAATTTTCGGGAGCAGGGACATCCTCGATAACGCAATTGCACTCAATTCGCGAGTGCCCACGCCCAATCTGTCATTCAGGCCACCGTATCCGGATCCGTGAGGCACGTAGTAGTAGGACTTGTCGAGGGATTCCACCTGAGGCATGGCCGCGTTCCAGTAACCATCCACCCTCGTCCTGATGACCCAGGCGTACATGAATCCGTGAAGACGCTCGTATGCCTGAATCATGTCGAGACAACCTTCCACCAACTGGAAGTACTGAAGGAGACCCTGTTGAAAAATTGCAAACATTCATCAGCATGAGTTGGGTGAATTTCTAACAACCTGCGCGACCACAGCTTATGTAGAACTTGCCATCTCATCGACCGAATGCAGCCCTGGCAAACTGTCTTCTGTATCAGCTCAGTTCAAAACTTGGATCAATGATATCATGCTCGAAAGCATGGCCAAGCTTTCGGGTATTAGCAATCCAGCTAAAACATGACAAACAAGGAATGAATGCCTGGGCAAACCCGCACGTCCGAATCGTATCAAAAAAAATGACGCGATTGGATATGTTTCGTGGAATCATGAGAAAGCTACCGAAATCCTTCGATTCGCTCTTGCAAACCGAAATGGCCACGCGGAAGTGTGAAGACTACGCATATGTGTGACATGGTGCACGAGAATGACGCGCCAGCGTCATCATGCCGCGGATTACGCTTCAGAGTACAACTACTCTGCAAGGTAGAGCTATTCATTACCACAAAGCCCGGAGCAATTTGGGCGTAGAACGTCCCACTGTTGTAAGAAATATGTCACCGACACATCGTTTCGAAGCCAAACTCGGGAGTACAGAGGCAATTTAGGATCAGAACGACTGAGCACCCCCGACCTGTCATCCGGCCTGATAAGACGAGAAAATTCAGACTACGGAGACAGGGCGAAGAATCTGTACCTGAATTCCATTGGGGGATCCTCGAGCAGTCAGAACCTCCCTGGCAATCTTGGTCTCGTTGATCCTCTTCGGGTGGAAAAGCCGTATAGCTGCGAGATGAGGAAAGCCATCGAGCAAGGTCAATTTATGCACGTCCTTGTCGACTGGTGAATGCACGAACACGTCCGCATCCTCGTAAGGGTCCAACAGGTACTGCTTGATACTCGGGCCGGTCAACTCGAACGCCCTCGCGCCCCCGACCAAACAGATTGCCACTCTCTTCTTGTCCGACTGCACCGCCCACAAAATGTCTCAGCTTAGAATCGCTAAACAATCTCCGGGACTAACATAAAATTTGCTTACGAACCACTTAATTATCTAATCACCTCATCGCTCGAGCAAAAGCTGCAGTCATGAAGCCCTGGAAGGCCCCGAAGCAAATGATTCTGCTCATGCGAAGAAGCCTGAGTAAGCTCTGAGTGCCAGAGAAAAAAGCATTCCACTGCGGAATAGGACGACCATTCATTTTTTAGCACACTGCCACCACTGTGATGCAGGCAAGGACAGGAACGTACCGGACGAAGGAGCGGAAAATCGTTATACGGAACCATAGATTGGTCGTAATGCAACCCAACAACTCTCCATCTCAACTGACGCAGTTCTCTGACGGGAGACACCCAGTAGAGCATTCCTACGAAGAAGCACAGCATCACGAATATGAACCATCGCTCCCAATGGATTCTCAACGATCTCGACGACGCCATGTCCTCCGTGGCTGCTCCTTCTGCAGCTGCTGCTTCTTCTGTCACTAGCCCTGACCCGAACGGTCCCTTCGAGCTGGAAAAAAATTGCGCTCGTTCTGCTCCTGCCACTGACCTTCCCCCTGCTGCTGCTTCTGCTGCTCTAGCTCTATCTTCTGACGAAGTCTCCGCAGTAAATTAAATTCACGGGTTTTCACTCGGTTTTGCCCGATTGTCGTTGCACGGGCCGCAAAGTTTGTCGAGCGTGCGAGGATAGAAATAGCATGCGCGAAATCGAGACGAGGCGAGACGACCGAGCTCGGCCACAAGCGACCGCAATTGCAATTTTATTTTTGTCACGCCCGCCTGCCTGCTCGTTCTCGTCCCCAGGCGGATGTGGGCTACGACCAGCATCGGCCAGAAGCAGCTGAGGCGCTGCTCGCCATACCCGCGGTGTCGCCACCACGTACCGCCGGCACGCGAGCGGGAGAGCCTTTCTCTTTCGCCGGGAGCATCCGCGGAGTCATCGACCTCGCGCTCGACCCAGCTCCCGCTCCCGCTCCCCGCAGCTGCACCTTATGTACCACATAAGCGCCGACGGGACTCGCCTCACGGAGCCCAGCCGCCATAGGCCAGCTGGCACCCCGTCCCAGCTGGACCCTCCGTTCGCCCATCTGCGATCCCGGGACGCCCCGCGGAGGTCTTCTGCTTTATCTCCCCTGACGTCACAGCTTCGCCTTCCGCCTATTTTTATCCGTCCGTCCGGCCACCATCCCGCACCTTTTCCGTTGACTTCTTACTCTGTCTTACCTCTCCCCGTTCGATCGATTTTCTTCATCTTTCTCGAATAATGCGCAACTGCCCTCCTTTCCATCGCATTATTATGGCTGACGGTGTGGGTATGAGAAACATTCTCGTCTTCTCTGTGAATATATGTCTTCCTACCACGGTTCGTTTTCCTTCATTTCATCGGGATCCACCGCCTAAATTGAAAATAAGAGACACCGACGGAACAGGAATGTACGTACGAATTCTGGAGGGAGTACGATTTTATGGAAGACGAAGGGTTTGAAAGAACCTCTCCACAATATTTTTCAGCATAGTGAATCAATATTCAGCCTTGAGTATGGATGGGAATCCAGGTGCACGCCTTCGACTGCAGTTGGGCCCCAATATTTTTCATCTTCTAAAACTTAAAACTAAAGAGAATCCTTGTGAAAGCTCAAATTCGTAGAAGCAGAAACAAATATGACGTCCATTCTTGTGTACTTTGGCTGTAGACGAATATACTTGAGTGGAAGAAAAAAGATTGATCATTTACTAATTTATTTTTAAATCAGTAGAAACAACAGACACTATGACTTCTAGCGAAAATCTGCAGAAAGACGGTTTAAATAATCTTTCTCTGTAAGAACCATACACCCCGCCATATTATGCCCTCGTGATTTTGACAAGTCGACAGTTGGAATAATATCTTCGCATGACGGTTGAAACATGTTCTTTGAAAATAATGATCAGACAGGTCTGAGTCTCCAAAATAGTAAGAATATAAGCCACGTTGATCCTCTTACCAAAAACACAATTGTTAGACATCCCCGACAGCAATCACATCAGAACCAAGAGACACTCTCCAGAGTATTTGGAAAATCAACAATTAAATGCTAAACTCTGCATCCACCTTGATGTTATTGCTCCCAAATGTGCAAGTTCTCCACCTTCCAAGTCCATTGCCACTTCAAGGCTCAAACGGCAAGAGTTACAGATCTTTCCAACGGCAGGTGTTACACAAGGTTGAATGTTGCTTTACTTCCTAAAATTTACAGGTTCCAAGCGCACTGGAACCTGAAAAGCTGCAACGTTTCTTTGTTTCCCGCCTTTTGCTCCCTTAGAGCGTCTGCCACATCTTTTGAACGATGTCTAGATTTCTTACATTCCGTTTCGTTTGGGGGGTTTTGTATGCTCTGGACTTTTAAGCTTGTTATTGATCTCGATCCCTTCATGATGGACAACAGCATCGGGCACGATGTCTAGTTCTAGAGCAACGGGGATGCATATACACGAGGTTTTTCTATAACAACAGTTCATAACTTAACATGTCTTTGACTTTAATGTGTTATGTCGCTGTAGTTTTATCTAGGTTATTAAATTAAATCCAATACCTCCTTACAGTCTTCAAAGTCTTGAAGAGAAAGCAATTATTCTGTCTGGTGATCAACTTGAAGTATCCAAGAAAACAATTATCTAGCCCACTTGTAAAGCAAAGAACTGAAAATCATTGACTTATTTCTTACATGGACGATAGTTTAAGTCAAGTCAACGGCTCCTAGCTGTACCAAGAAGTTCTGCTCAAGATTTGTGAAAAACTACATTCATCACGTTACCAACGAGATAAAATGCTTAATCCATATCAATAATATGCGGAATTATTCAGTATGTCAAAAAGAAATACATGTCACATTATTTTTTTGGAAAAACTTCAAGCAAGATAAAATTATGACAAGTATATTTTCTTCAAGATGTTGAGATGGAAATATTAACATCTATTTATTTCAATAAGTCTAACATTTTCTCTTTGGTAACATTTTGCTGATTCAAGGATATCATAAAACATTCGATTTTTGTTCAACATCATGAAAAAAATTGTATGTATTACATATTCTACTCTTTATTATATTTTTATATATATTTAGCTATATATAATAATTTTAATGAAATGGTTGAATTGAATAATTTTTTACTTTTTATTAAATAACATATTAGAAGAAATTTCATAATCTACATGAATGTCATAAACTGTTATTTACTTTTTTTAGTTTAACTTTTTCATACAAATGTTTACTGATTGAGGTGAAAAAAACTTGATATTGGATCAAGTAAACTTCAAGGTAAGCGAAACCACTTCTTAAAATATACGATCAATATAGAGTACATGATCTGCCACCCATGATAGAAACGAAAATAACAATAAAAACACACACACGTGATATTAATCGGTTTCATTTGTTGGCCTTGAACTCGTGCTGTCACTCTTTCAGTATATAAAGATGCTAAACAGAGGCATGTGTTCGTCTTCAAGGAACACAACTGTGTTCCATTGTTGGCACACTTGACCTAATGATCTGTTCTAGATATTGTGGGGGCACTCCGAGGGTCCAGCAGTAGTTCAGTTAGGCTTGAAGTTTTTTTAGCCATCCATTAATGCAACGCATTGTTTTGTTGTAGTTCTGAGCCATATAAGAGGAGGAGCCCTTAACGGAATTACTCGATCGGCGAAACATGCAGATTTTTCTCTTAGCTAGAAAACTACAGTACAGGGATTTTCTTGACATATCTTTTACAGCACGCAAGAACCTCGCAGTGAGGAACACCTGCACCATATAGTGCTCTGCCCACTTGCGCGATTCGTTGCCTATTTAGCTCAGCTGTTCGCTAAGTCCGTTTGTACATGAAACATATGTAAAATTAATTATGTTATCGATCCTTCACTTTTCATCATGGCCTTTGCTCAATAGTGAGCGATTGATTTTGCTCGTGAGAGCAGACATTTTCAATCCTCTTTGAACACTGTGATTCTATTTGTGACCACAAAGAAGAGGAGAAAGAAGTGTAAAGTCAGCTGCTTAGAGTGGGAAGGGGGTGATCAAAACTGTTGAAGGTGAAAGTTGTTGCGAACGGGGATCCTGTTCCATGTCTCCAGCCCTATATCCCATAAAAGAACAAGAAAACACAACACGAATGAAATCGAGGAGAACTGACCAGCAGATGACGTGGGCTGGAGTTTCAAAATTACATGAGTAAATACACAAATGCGTCCTGCATTTGTTGAAGTATCCCCTTGCCAACAACCACAAGCATGTTGGGAAACTTATAATCTAAAACACGAAAGATCCTTTCTACGGTGAATGATTTCTGTAATTTCAAAACGAAGTTAGCTACTCAAGAAAGATCTTCAAATAAGCCATAAGTCGGTCAATGACCTACAGTAGCAGCCAATGCGTACCTCACGTAGAGCAATGGAATTGGGTCCTAAGGAGCATATGAGGGAAGGTGGACTCTAACAGCCTAAAGAGGGACAGGGGAGTTCCAAACTCCTCATTGGTATCTACCGCAAACCTATTACTCCTCTCCTGTTACCACCGGGTTAGTTTGTGAGATTACCGGCGAGAAGGTGTAGATTCTCCACATTCGTCCACATCTTCTACACGTCCTGTGGAAAGGTATACCCTACGCACCTTAACGTCAGCCAGCACCTTCTCGCAATTAGCCTTAATTTTGGACTGAATACTCATATAGTACTTCCTGCCAGTTTCCATGCGTGCATATGCAAGTCAAGCATGAAGTCGGATGGGAACTGAAGTGACACACCTGTGCGCTAGCACGAGAAGCTTTTCTTCCTCCGCATCCTGTACGGATGTAAAGTAGCTTCGTGTAAACTTGACTGCACTGTTCCAACAACGACCGCGTAAAGAATACAGCAGAAAATTGGAGTCCTAGCGCTTGGAAGTTGTAGCACTTTTATTTTAGTAATTTGCTCGGCTCGACTTTTGACTACATCCGTCAAGAATGTAATCAAAACTCGAAGGTCAAAAATGTACTGCGCACTTGACCTTCTGCGCACAAAAATTTGCTCTTCATGTTGCTTTACTTCTGATTGTTGCGCATAAAGTGTGAGAGTCATGCGTTAAACGATTGGAATATAAGTCAGCGAACAGTATCTTTTCTTTACTCATACACAGAATCTAAGCACAAAATCATACGTGTCTTCTGCAGTGAAGCTTGGTAGATATTTTCTCAAAGTATCAGGACAGAGAAAAAAAATAGTTACTGTAAATCTACATAATCCTGGATTAGTGAAGCATAACTTTGCACAGAATTTTCATTAATTTTTAACTAGAGAGACTTTCTCTACTGTGAGACAGATTTTAGCAATCAAAGAAGTAAGTATACATATTATCAGAATCCTCGTCCTTAAAGTGTGCATGTTTTTGGACTTTCAGTGAGAATGAAATTGGTAGTTTATATACATATATTCGACGTCAACAACGAATTTAATGAAATATATATAAATCAATAAAATTATCAAGAAAAAAGATTTTTCTTTCTTGATCATATTCTGCCTCGATTACACTTAACAGAATGACTTTTACAATTGTGAAGATTTACACCCCTTGAAGACTATATTACACGACTTATCCTCAAATCTATATACAAAAAGAGTAAAACTGGACTACTGAAGATCATACGATGATAGTAGAAGTCGATATTCAATTGAATAAAGTCGAAACCTTCAATGAAGCACATTTCATGTAAACAAAGGTTGTTGATGATTTGTTACCTCTCTAAAATTGCACTTTGTCAAGAGAGGAAATTAATCTTCTTCTATGGTGATCGAGACAGTCTTCGTACAGTATTGAAGATATGTCTACGACGGAGTCGTATTGAACAAGGAAGGTCACATGCCTTGTGGACTAGAAGATGACAAGGGCTCCTGGAGCCACTTTGAATCCTTTGGTAAGTACACAGTAGAATTTGATGGTTTCAGTA